TGTTCTTTTCATTCACTGTTTTACTTTCAGGACGAGGAAAGATTGCGAAGGCGGCATCAAATACCTTCAGGACCAGAGCGGGAACACGCGCTGTCTTCCAAATACGAAAGCTTGAACTACGAAGTCATAGAAAATCAGCTGTACAAAGATGAAGAGGCTGAACCGAATCATCACGTATACCCTTCTTATTTAATAGTTCTTTGCATCATGCCTCAATTCTGTAGATTCGCCTATGGAGACGGTCGCGCAATCGATGGATTGTTTGTTTTTTTATTGGCTTTTTCACCGCTGTTGTTGCGGCTGGGATAGACATAATGGTTCACATCAGTCAAGAAATCAAATTTGGAGTTATTATAAAACAGTGTCCGTTTCATTCTAATACCTCACTAACTTTGCTCGGATTCAGTTTTACAGTGCTAACAAAGTGCGATAAGGAGACAGAACTGACTGGTGACGGATGCATGTGGACGGTCGAAGCTGCCTGGATGTGTTACAACTGTATACTCGTTGGGATTGCTGGTTGTTTGGTAAGTAGTTTTGTGGCTTGCAATGTTATGTCGCCTTCTGTCGTGTTTTGAGATCATCTTTTGCCTCCTTACTTTCTTTCGTAATTTTTGTTAGTGGTAATAAATCCTGACACAACCTTCTGTGAATCAAAAAAAAACTCTTAGCACGCCTTTTCAGTTTTCTTCATTGAACCTTAACGTTCCTGCTGAAATTCATTGTGAATTTCTGCCGTTTCGCAGAACACAGCAAGTTTCTTACTTTTCTTCCAGTAAACTCTTGTAGGTGATTTTCTGGGCTCCCATTGCTGGTGGATCTGGTATACCTCAAATTAAGTGCTTTCTCAATGGAATCCAAATACCTGAAGTGGTGATGCTAAAAACCTTAGTGTCGAAAGCCGTAGGTGTTGCCTGTGCCGTTGGAGGAGGTCTTTCAGCTGGGAAAGTAAGTATTCGTTGTGCATTTTCCTTGCGTATCCATTCTTGTTTTCGCAGGAGGGACCAATGATTCATTCTGGGGCTGTTGTTGGAGCTGGATTGTCGCAAGGACGATGTCAATCTATACCTTTTGATACGGGTCTTTTTAAGGAATTTAGGAACGATAGGTAAATTTTTTAAAGAAAACTCGGAGACTTTCAACACTTCATTTTGAGGGAACGGCGTGATTTTGTTTCCGCTGGTGCAGCGGCCGGAGTGGCTGCAGCCTTCGGTGCACCAATTGGTGGCGTTCTTTTTTCTCTGGAAGAAGGCGCAAGTTTTTGGAATCAAAATTTGACATGGAGAATGGTAGGCCATCAAATATTTGTTTGACCTTTTTAAGACCTGCGTCACCGTTGTTGTAGTTCCATATGTATTAGTAGGATGCCGCTCAATTTTTTAGCGACGTTGATCTCGTTTTGATCATTCGGTTGAAGCAGCAACAGGCTCTTGCTTTGTTCTGCTGTTTCATTCTGAATATCTTCAGTTCTTCTCAGCTATGATCTCAGCTTTCACTGTGAATTCTATTCTGAGTTGGTACAATGGTCGTAGTGGATGGTTGTCATGGACGGGTCTAGCTAATTTTGGTGTGTTCGAGGTAAACCTTTTTTTCAGTCATGTCGCATTTTTATAAAAATGCACTTATTTTTCGCAGTCCTCTGCACTGAAAGGTGTCTTCTTCAGAATAAAAACTACAATATTTGGGAAATTCCGTTCTTTTTGGCTGTTGGTGTTATCGGAGGTCTCACAGGCGCTTTGTTCAATCATCTCAACTCGAAGTTAACTCAGTTCAGGAAGAAGTGAGTTACTTACCTAGGGTTAATGAAAATGACCACCTTTATAACACATCAGATACGTCTCGAGTAAGTGGCGGCGTTTAATGGAGTGCTTTGTGGTGGCGGCTATGTCTGCCTTCACGGGTTTTGTTACTCTTTTTCTTGTGGATGACTGCCAACCTGTTGGTATCAATCCAAATATAACTGAAGTCAATCAGGTGCTTTGTTGTTTTCAGCCTTTCTTTGTGTTATATGAGTTTATCAGATGTGGTGCAAAAAAGGTGAGTACTCAGCTGTGGCGAAGTTGTTCTTCCAAAATCCAGAAGAGAGCGTGAAATCACTATTTCATAGTCCTATGAGTAAGCTTTCGCCGAGTTTTTTGTATATCTATATTACTCTGGATGAGATTGCTTTTAGATTCATTTCGACCTTCAACATTGCTAATATTTTCTGTTGAGTACTACCTGTTGACTTTGTGGACCTTTGGGCTTTCTGTACCAGCTGGGGTCTTCATCCCTGCAATCCTTACGGGTGCCGCTTGGGGACGTTTGTTTGGGCTTGGCGTGGGACGGGCGTTTCCTAATATTGTGAGTTTCAAATTTGTTAGGATGTTATTCATCTTGCGGTTCACATGTATAGCTAATGTAATTTCAGACAGGGATTGATCCGGGCAAATACGCATTGGCTGGTGCAGCTGCGCAGTTGGGAGGTCTTGTAAGAATGACCATATCCCTTACTGCGATCATCATGGAAGCCACTAAGGTGACAGCTATGATATAGGTTCACCTCATTTGGTAAAAAAAAAGTGACCTTTGCTTTCTTCTTAAGGCTTTTTTTTTCAGGATATAACCTTCGGTCTCCCAATCATGTTAGTGTTAATGGTTACAAAGTGGGTTGGCGACATATTTAATGAAGGATTATATGACATCCACATTGATATACAGGAAGTACCTATCCTTGGATGGCATCCCCCGAAGATGAGCCGAAATATCCTAGCAGAGTGAGTTACGCTTCAAGTAATTCTATCGAGTTATTTTGTACAAGTTATGGTGCACTAGGAAAGTCATGCGTTCTGACGTGGTTGCTATGGAACGTCGAGAACGGGTTTCTCGAATCGTAGCCGTGTTGCAAACTACAAATCATCATGGATTCCCAGTCGTAGATCGCATTGACGAATCAACGCATTCAACTCTTCCAGACTATGGTCATCTGAAAGGGATGATTCTTAGATCTCAACTAATCACTCTTTTAGAAAAGAGAGTGCGTTGTTTTTTTCGCTTTTAATTTTCGAAGGGCCACGATCTAAGCATATCCACACTTTTTTTCAGAGGATTTGTGTTGATCTTTTTGAGTTTATACATTAATTTAAGTTTGTGTTCTAGGTCTTCTATTCCGAGATGGAAGGTTTTGAAGGTATTAGTCGAATGGGTATTGTGAAGCTTAGTGACTTCTTTGACGAAGATGTGTAAGATCTCCTCTTCTACAATTTCTTTACGCTAATTGTTGGTTGTTGGAAAATTTTTACATTTCAGTCAGCAAGACAAATCTGTCGACTCATTAGGTCTGACCGTTTCGGATGAGCAATGCTGGATGGATCTTGAACCGTTCATCCATCCTCATCCTCATCGCGTTCCTCTAAATGCTTCATTGCCGTTTATTTTCCAACTCTTTCGAGGTCTCGGATTACGATATCTAACTGTGGTTAATGACGAGAACAAGGTGAGCACCTCTTTGTTTTTCTTTCTATACCACTCGGCTTTTTTATTCTATATGAGCTGCAATTTAAATATGCGAACTTTATGAGTTCTTCAGCTGCGTGGTATAATCACGCGGAAGGACGTGGCTAGATTCCGTGAGCGTCGACTTAACAGAATGTACCAGGTTCAGGAGTTATATATTGCTGAGGATCATCCAAATTGAGTTTATTAATCAAGTTGTCGAGTGTTATGTTATGTAATAACATGTAATAACTTGTGTTATTTTTTTGGATAT